TCATTATTATTTCTATATATTATTATTCTATTTAATTTCTATATATATTATTCTTTCTATTTAAATTTTAATAATTTTTCAAATCTGCTATCATTATTATTTCCATCCAATTGCCTCCTATTGAAATTCTTTCACTCGTAAAGTAGCGAAAGCTCTCGAAATTCGATTTGTTCGATATTGAACGACCCGAAGAAGGAAAATGGGAAAGGTAGAAAACTGCGCACGGTGATGACAACTACAAGCCAGCTTCGTCATTATGAATTATCTATGCGCGAATGACGCCTGCGCCTTTACGGCGAGCAAAAGCGAATTTCACTTGTCTTTTGCGTTGAATCCACTCTGGAGACGCATCTCTCGTTCTCATGTGCCTCCCTTGCGAAGGCAAAGACAGCCAAGGGTGAATTTGATGGTTAAGTCGAAATGGAAATTGGCTTTGGCCAGAATTTCGAGTAAGAGTATTTGTGGCGAAGCGGTCACTCTCTCAATTTTGTTAGAATTTTTTAGGGATTAGTTAGAATTTTTGAACAGCGCGAAAAAGTAAAACGTAGAATTCGGGAGCTTTCGGTTCAGCAATTTCTAGCTCTTTTATGTTTATCCTTTTCTGTCTTTTATTTTATAAAATTTTATTTTATATAATTTTGTTTTATAGAATTTTTATTCTACAAAATTGTAGTTTATAAAATTATTGTTTTATAAAATTTTATTTTATAGAATTTTTATTTTATATAATTTTACTTTATAGAATTTTTATTCTACAAAATTTTAGTTTATAAAATTATTATTTTATAAAATTTTTATTTTATAGAATTTTTATTTTATATAATTTTACTTTATAGAATTTTTATTCTACTAAATTTTAGTTTATAAAATTTTTATTTTATAAAATTTTATTTTATAGAATTTTCATTTTATATAATTTTACTTTATAGAATTCTTATTCTACAAAATTTTAGTTTATAAAATTTTTATTGTATAAAATTTTATTTTGTAGAATTTTTAAGCCAAAGCAATTTTTATTCCTGCGTATGCTAAATTCTTTTCACAAGTATAGGACCAGAAATCCTCTTACGCAGCAAATTTCACTCTTCTTAATCTCCCTTTTTCATTTGGCTAGAAATTGTCCGATTTGTAATTTTTTGGAGTAACTTTCCTATTCCTTGTAGTCTAATTTCTCTGACTAATTCTGATTTTCATTCTAACTATATTTCCAACGTTAATATAAAGTAAGATTTGAAATTCTTGTTCTGCATGATCTTTCCTTTTTACAAAGAATCTTGTAATAAAGGTTTTAATAACCTCGACAGTAAAAGTAAAACACTTTAATAAATTTTCTAATAACAATTTTTTTAACGCAGGAAATATAATACATAGTCAACTTGTGATTAACCTGTTTCGTTCTCCTCGTTACGTTTGTTCTTAAAAGAAAAATCGAAACGTGTGTAATTGCCAGTTGTTACGATGGACAATGGATAGTACAACAGCAGTTTGCTTCCATGAATCCATGAACATACAATACGTGTGTATATGTGTGTGTATATGTGTGCGTTACCTCGTGAAGAATGTACAAAACGTGGAATATTATTTATGCAAACCATCCGTCCGTACTATACGTGCATAACAAAAATTCTCCTACTTTTATATTTAGTTTCTTCCTTCTTTCTTTTTCTCTTGCAAAGAGTATATAGGTAGAAAAGCAGCAAGCTGCTGCTAAACCGACGATATAAATGAAAGGTAGAACATTCGGTAGATAACAGAAACGATTAAACGAGGGGACCTTAGCAGTTGATGTGTAGTTTAGCGAGTATCGTGCCATCGTCCTCGGAGTTTGAAAATTATCATCCTCCCACTGTTCGAAGAGTTTACTTTAGAATACCGTGGGCGACGATATCGCGGTGCATGAACTTCGTGGGCTTCCACGTCGTTGCGTTTCAATTTCAAAAGTTGCAAACAATCGCGTACAGACGATTGGCAAAATATTCCTCCTCCCTGGCTGTAATCGGAATTTCGCGCATCACTTTCACCTTGTTACACGATACACTGCCTTTTGAATTCTATCAACATTGCCATTTCGAGATGAGAAGAAAGAGGGAGAAAAGTAATTCTGGAAAAATTAGAATCGTTCGAGAGAGATTAAAACGTATGCACGCGTGTACAGGGATCGGTGGGAAGATGAATTAAGAAGATAAATATGGCTAGGTGAAAAAGTGACCGTTTTTCGATTGGCAAAAGCCAATGTGACTGGATAAAGGCGGTTTCGACAGGCAACAGTGAGTTTTCGCTGACGAATCGTCGGGCATAAAACGAGCCAACAAAGACGGCACATTTATCGAAAGTTGTTAACACGCTGCTAACGGGACAACCCCCGATCGGAATTACTTCGCCTCGCGTCCACCGTGAAAAGTTAAAATACCCCGCCGATATTCCATCGATGATGGAACGATTTCTTTTTTTCACGTTACACAACCATGAATGAAAGCTTTAATTAGTTGATGATTTTATGGAACAATTCTATTATAATATATATACATATATATAATAAAATTAAGTCTATTATTATAAAATATAATATAAATTAATTTATATTAAATAATATATATAATAGAATATATAGAATATAATATATATATATAATAGAATATATAGAATATAATATATATATATAATAGAATATATAAAATAAAATTAAATCGCTATTATAATATATAAAATATAATATAAATTAATTTATATTAAATAATATACATAATAAAATATATAGAATATAATATATATATATATATGTAATAGAATATATATAATAAAATTAAGTCGCTATTATGATATATAAAATATAATATAAATTAATTTATATTAAATAATATATGAAATATAATATAAATTAAAAATATACTAGAGACTTGTATAAATATTAAATATATCGGAGGATTCTAATAAATTAAATGGTTTTTCGAGAATTTTCTCAACAGAATTATTCTCCTGGAATTTTTTCGAGTATTTAAAGAGTCTCTTAAAGTAACGCGGCTTTTATTTACAATGTGAAAGCAAGAACGTGAATTAATTAATTTAGTAAAAGGTTAACTACCTTAATAGTGTAACCAGAAATAATTTCATTCTATATATATTACAATTCGTATTCTAAACGCAAGCGCGCGAAAGCTTGGTTTAATTAATGAAATTTACTGGATAAAGATCTTGCGTGTTTTGAACATAATTTTGAACAAAACCGAATCCTAATTTATTACAGAATTAATATGCATTTCTGTGAATCTCACGAATCGTCGCAAAAATAATTGTGACCGAGAATTTTTTCCCCCAAATTTACAAAACAAATGACAAATTTATTACTTCTCAATAATTTCTATCCAGTGATATCGTACCGACGAGTTCAAAAGAAAAAGAACGCGACGAATTATTGTGTACGGCTCGGTCACTCGTTATGGTCCGCAATCAGTACCCAGCGCAAGTTGTTAATGGAATGCAGAGGTACGCGAAACACAAAAATTCACGAAGCTGTATATTCTTTGCAACATTTTAACAAATAGTATTTCACATTTTTATTCAGAAAAGTATGAGTTTGTACGAACGTTAGTATTACGATTGTAAAATTAAAATCCTCTACTTCAGAAATATAAGTATATATATGAGACAATTTTTGTTCATTTTTTATTTTTGTTCAGAAAGACACAGGTTTCTACGAACGTTGGAAATTTAGTGTTTCGATTGTAAAATTAAAATCCTCTGCTTCAGAAATATAAGTATATATATGAGACAATTTTTTTATTTTTGTTCAGAAAGACACATGTTTCTACGAACTTTCGAAATTTAATGTTTCGATTGTAAAATTAAAATCCTCTGCTTCAGAAATATAAGTATATATATAAGACAATTTTTTTATTTTTGTTCAGAAAGATACAAGTTTCTACGAACTTTCGAAATTTAATGTTTCGATTGTAAAATTAAAATCCTCTGCTTCAGAAATATAAGTATATATATGAGACAATTTTTTTATTTTTGTTCAGAAAGACACAGGTTTCTACGAACGTTCGACATTTAGTGTTTCGATTGTAAAATTAAAATCATCTGCTTACGAATTATAAGTATATATATGTGAGACAGTTTTTTTTTACTTTGTTCAGAAAAATAGAAGTTTCTACGAACGTTCGAAATTTAGTGTTTCGATTGTAAAATTAAAATGGTCTGCTTACGAATTATAAGTATATATCTGAGACAATTTTTTTATTTTTGTTCAGAAAGATACAAGTTCCTACGAACGTTGGAAATTTAGTGTTTCGATTGTAAAATTAAAATGCTCTGCTTACGAATTATAAGTATATAACTGAGACAATTTTTTTATTTTTGTTCAGAAAGATACAAGTTCCTACGAACGTTGGAAATTTAGTGTTTCGATTGTAAAATTAAAATGCTCTGCTTACGAATTATAAGTATATAACTGAGACAATTTTTTTATTTTTGTTCAGAAAGATACAAGTTCCTACGAACGTTGGAAATTTAGTGTTTCGATTGTAAAATTAAAATGCTCTCCTTACGAATTATAAGTATATATCTGAGACAATTTTTTTATTTTTGTTCAGAAAGATACAAGTTCCTACGAACGTTCGAAATTTAGCGTTTCGATTGTAAAGTTAAAATCCTCGATAAAGCGGCGAATTATTGTGTACGGTTCGGTCGCTCGTTATGGTCCGCGGACCAGTTGCCAGCGCATGGGGTTAACAGACGAAAAGCACCAGGAATTGGTGCAACGCGATAAAAATCGTCTGGTGTGTCCGGGGATCGTGTGCACGAGACCACATCCGTCCGTGCCCCGTGTCCGTGTGCGTTAGGTTGTCTACGCTGAGGATGACGATAGTGGTGGTGGCCGGTGTGGCGCATCGATTCCGGGGGCGAGGAGGGGCGGGCGAAGGATGAGGAATAGGAGTAGGAGGGAAACGTTTCGAAAAACTTTTCCCCGAGAACTCGAGTCCGCGTAACTTGCTACTTACCTTGGCAGCGATCGCCCCGTATCAAGCCAGTCCTCAACTTCCCACAGTCGTGTGTATGCCGAGCATATCGCCTCGCCGACGCGTAACAAACTTCCTCCTCAGCCTCTCGCGATCGTTTCGAGATCCCCGAGCCTTTCACACGGGGACAATTCCTTCTTTCCTTCGTCTGATCTCGAAAGATCTCTCGGGCCAGCTCAAGCTTGACTCGAGACTTTTCGCGACTCGTTACGCCGTGGAACTCGTCTCGAGCTCCGCTCTCCTTAATTGCGTTGTTTTCGCTTTCTGAAAATCTTTCGTCTCGCGACCAAGTTCCCTCCTCCCTTGGACGGATCTGGAGATCTGTCCGATCCGAAACCGGAACGTGCAAGGAAACACTGGAAACACGCGGGATCCTCTCGAAGAACACTCGCAGAGAGAGAGAGAGAGAGAGAGAGAGAAAGAGAGAGAGAGAGGGAGAGAGTCCCCTTCGAGAACACTTGTAGAATCCTCTCTCAGTGAGCACACGCTATTTACGAGCTAGCGAAAGCTTCCCGCTTTCACCCCGTCATTTTCTCATTTCGTGCCCCTGGCGAGTTTGTGTTTCCCACGAGGATCGCAGGTATCTCCACGGTTATCGATAGGTCGATCGACTCGGTGCAAGACTCTCAGAGGCTTCGCCCTTGGCCACCTCCTCCACGTCGGACGCGATCGAGGCACCCGGAGACTGTTCGTCGTTTACATCGATCCGCGACCCTGTTGTCATCTGTTACTCATCTCGAGCAGCCGGACTCAACCGTCGTACCATTTCCCTCCAGATTGACAGACGATTCACCCTAGCGAGCTGCTCTCTCCCACGCAGGGACGCACGAGTCGTACACCGTGGAGGAGGAACACAGAATTTGTCTCTCGGGTGGCAAACATCTTCCGCTGGAACTGGCGCGAGAAGATCCAACGAACTGGCTTGAAAAGCTTCTCCCTCTCTCTGTTCTTCAGAAGCTTGCCACGTTGCTGAACGTTGCTCGCAGCCTCCTGCTCTCCAGTGTACTGAGAGAAGAATTACAATATTCGCGTGAAATTCTTATTCGCTAGATCGCGACGACGACGACGACGACGACGACGACGACGAGATGACCGAGTGTAGGTCGTTCACGGGGTCGCGGTATCGACGCGTATTCGACGGCTCGAAATGGGGGATGTTTTGGCCACGGCTGGACGGGGAACGGCGTTCGTCGAGTGCCGTGGAAACTGTCTGCCGTCCATGAACAGCGTCGCCGGCGACCACGGACGCACCCCGTAGGAGGGTGCACAACGCGCAAACGTAATGGTAGGGAAGGTTGCTGCGCCAGCGCGGCCTCGTGCGGCCGGATCGCCGCATGAAGGAACGCTGCAGCCCAACACGAAGGAACGTGTGCCAACTCCGTGTGTCGTCTCCTGCCGCCTGCCACTTACACACCTTCTCCGTCCTGCGTGGATACGCAGATAGCGCGTACCGATACGCGATGATTCCTCCGCTTCGCGGCTGTCCTCTTCGACTTCTCCGCGGCCAATAAGGTCGCCGAGGCCACCAGTCTTCTTCATTTTCTTTTTCTTTGTCGCGTACGTTCAAACGTCGCATTGACGTCGAGATCATTGGCGATTAGGTACTTTGCATGGTAGTTATATTTTGTGATATTATATATTATATATTATATTATATGTTTTGTAATATTATGTAGTATATATTTTTATAATATATTGTATATTATATGTGTAATATTGTATATATATTTATAATATATTGTATACTATATGTGTAATATTATATAGTATATATTTATAATATATTGTATACTATATGTATAATATTATATATATTTATAATATATTAATAAATTATATATATTATTTATTATATTTACATATATTATATATGTAATATATTTTGTAATGTTATATATTTTGTATAACAAAATATTATTATTATATATTTTATTACAATATATACTATATATTATATTATATTTTGTAATATTATGATATACTTATATTTTGTAATGTTATATATTTTGTATAATAAAATATTATTATATATTTTATTACAATATTATATATTATATTATATTTTGTAATATTATGGTATACTTATATTTTATAATGTAGATTTCTGTACTACAAAATAGTTACTGCAATAGACTATAATTTAACGTTTAATCAAATTTTAGAATACTTTCATTGAAAATGAATCAAACCTAATCTAAAATTAACACTCGAGTATTCTTTTAAATGGTTTTCGTTTTTGGAGAAAATTTTAAGATACACGACGAGAAAAAGTGAACGCATGGAACTTTAATATATTATATAACTATATTTCATCGTATTTGCATGTTTAAAATAAGGGAAGCGAGATATGTGGCATTTCGTGAGATATTTTAGCCTTCTCGCGAAAAATTTTACCATTGCGTTATATTTTGTACGAATTGTTTTTGCGGAGTCAGTTGTTCCACTGCAGTTAATTTAAATATTATAACTTCGGTAAAGAAAATTACACAACGATTTACTTGGCCTCGTTTCAAAGCGCGAAATTTCTATTTTTCTGAACACCCTATTTCCAACGAGAGATTTTAACATTTCACGTATTATGGTAAATGAAAAAAGAGTTTTCTTCGTTCAAATAGATGGTAAAAGTTCACCCGTACGTGGAAATACGCTGGGAAATTTTGTTTACGACCGAAAAACTCGAAACTTGAAACTCGTCACATTTTATTACTAACTTTGGTGTTCAATAAAATGGCGAGAAAAGAAATCGTACAGCAAGATTTAAGGCTCGTTGTAAAGGAAAGATTTCAATTTTCCAAACCACGGTCGAATCTTTTTAACGCCTTTAGATACGTTCGAATTTTCGTAGTTTTCCGCGAGCGACAGAGTAACGGCGTTTTTGAACAAAAAAGGAAAGAACTTTACGCTTTGAAACGAGAACCAAGTAGATCGTTACACGATCTTCTTTCACGGCGTTGCGACAGGTTTAAAATATCGGCGACAATTTTTCAGTTGCGCCCCTTCGCTGAACACGTGCATACATACATGCTGAATATATATTGCGTTAAGAAAATATATTAGCGAGAAATCTGCTTAGATCGTAGAAGAAATTCCATCGTTTTCGCAACGAATCTTATCCGGTCGGCATCCGGGGGACAAAGAGACAATAAACAAAACCGACGACAAACGCGACGGGTGTATTAAACCCGGGGAAAACAGAGAGAAGCGATTTAATTGTTGAAAAACTCGGGCAAGCGAAAAGTTTCCGTCGAAATAATAACGTTCCGTACAAGGTAATTCTCGACTCTCTCTCTTTCTCTCTCTTTCTCTCTCTCTTTCTCTCTCTTCCGTCCGAAGTGCCTACGACGTTTTATTTTCTTTTTCCTTTTTTTTTTTTTCATTTCTCTTTCTTCCTTTTTTTTTCCACGACGAAGCCGTGGCGTCGGAATTTCAAAGAACTCGTCTTTGTACCTTCGACGATTGTGGTCCCTTTATTTTCTGCCCCTTTCATGCTCTCCACCCTTTCAAATTTTTCCCCGGCAAGCGGGAGAGAAACCGGTTAGGGGAAGGGAGGAGAGAAAGAGAGAGAGAAAAAAAAACGAAAATCATCTTTTCCTGTTCGCTGTTTGCGTAACAGACGTCGCGTCGCATCGATATTCTGATAGAATCGTAATTCACGCGCGCCGAGCAGAGGGAACAGCCGCTCCGACGCTTTGAACTTTTCCATTCGGCAACTTTCTGTTCTAATCGCGTGATCCTCCTCTGCTTTCTCACCATCTACTCGATCTACGAACGCTACACGTCGCGTTAGAGAGTTAATGCTCCAACAGTTTGTAGTTATCGAAACAACATACGAAAAGAGTACGCAATTTATATTATATTATACTGTATTTATATAGCGTAATTGTTTGCGATTTCAAAGTTTCGTAATTGTTTGCGATTTCAAAGAAAGAGAAGTCGTCATGTTTCGCGAAAACCAGGCTAGCTGAATATTTTCATTATCAGTGATATGGTACGAAGAAATCGTTTTTGACTGGTAACTTAAATTGGACCGAGGAGAACTATTTCTTTTTTAAATAACTACAATATCTGAAATATCTAAAATATGTATAATGTCTATCTAAAATATCTATCTAATTAACCATTTGCGCTGGCAACTGATTGCGGACCATAACGAGCGACCGAACCGTATACAATAAATTCGTCGCTTTCTTTTTAAACTCGTCGATACGATATTACTCGATAGAAATTACTGAGAAGTAATTCAACAAATTTATTATTTGCTTTGCCTGGGTTATAATTAAATATACTTATGCAGAACTGAAAAAATATTGCAATTTTAGGATAAAAAATTCTCGACGTGCGTGGCAAGAGGTTAACCCCTCTGATTGCGGACCATAACGAGTGACCAAGCCGTATACAATAAATTCGTCGCTTTCTTTTTAAACTCGTCGATATGATATCACTCGATAGAAATTACTGAGAAGTAATTCAACAAATTTATTATTTGCTTTGCCTGGGTTATACTTAAATATAGAGAACTGAGAAAATATTGCAATTTTAGGATAAAAAATTCTCGACGTGCGTGGCAAGAGATTAACCCCTCTGATTGCGGACCATAACGAGTAATCAAGCCGTATACAATAAATTCGTCACTTTCTTTTTAAACTCGTCGATATGATATCACTCGATAGAAATTACTGAGAAGTAGTTCAACAAATTTATTATTTGCTTTGCCTGGGTTATAATTAAATATACTTATACAGAACTGAAAAAATATTGCAATTTTAGGATAAAAAATTCTTGACGTGCGTGGCAAGAGGTTAATCACTCTGATTGCGGACCATAACGAGTGACTGAACCGTACACAATAATTTGTCGCTTTTATTTCGTTGCTATATCACTGGATAGAAATTGTTGAGAAGTAATAAATTTGTTATTTGTTTTGCCTTGAGTTATACTTAAATATACTTGAAACTGAGAAAATGTTGCAACTTTGGGTTAAAAAATTCTCATTGGATATTTCAATCTTTCAATTGGTATCAAATCTCTTCGTTGGTATTTTTTTGTTTTATCTAAAATACTAAAATAACAAAACCTTGTATTTCTTTTCTGTCTTTCTCATCACGTAGCTAGTGAAAGAAAATCTACTCGTGATATGACCTTCGAACGATGTTGGCCTTTAAAATTTAAACACTCGGTAAATACAAATTCGAATCTACGATTCGAGCAAACTATTTCTATTAATAAAAAACTTCTATTAATAAAAGATAGAATGGGTCGAGAATGTCCCGAGGAATCAGCGAATATCGCCAACTTTCGTTAGAGACAGTGTCGTCTTTTTCGGCCATTAAAGGCCGCTTTAGAGGAGACGTAGCCCCGGGGTTGAAGTCGCTTCAGCGCCAACCACGAAACTCTCTCTCTCTCTCTCTTTCTCTCTCTCTCTCTCTTTCTCTCTCTCTCTCTTCTCGAAGGAATCAGGTATTAGCGCATCTTTGGAACGAGCACGTAGAGGCCTAGCCTAGAGAAATATAAGCACCAGCCGCTTTCTTTCTTTCTTTCTTTCTTTCTTTACTTTCGTAGGAAGCAGCCCCGTCCTTTCAAGGGAATATTCTATTATCACCGGATATACATATATGTATGTACATATCGACTCGAGAGATCTGTCATTAATCTCTTGCGTTGGAATGGCGTGCGTGCCACGCACGTCGAGAATTTTTTCGTCCCAAAATTGTAATATTTGCTCAGTTTTAAGTAAAATAAAATATATAATAAAATATATAATAAATAAATAATATAATTTAATAATAAAATATATAATATAATATAATATAATAATAAAATATATTTATTATATATAAATGTAACAAGATTTTTATAATTAGTTTAAAATTAGTTTAAAATATATTTTTATAATCAGTTTTAAGTAAAGTAAAATATAAAATATATTTGTTATGTTGAAATAAAATATATTTAAGTAAAACAAAGTAGGCGAAACGAAACTAATAAATTTATTACTTCTGAATAATTTCGATCCAGTGATATCGTACCGACGAGTTCAAAAAGAAAGCGACGAATTATCGTATATACGGTTTTGGTCACTCGTTACGGTCCGCAATCGGTTGCTAGCGCAACGTGGTTAATGACAGAGAAAAAAATAACTTGCACATGTGAAACCGTATTCGCTGTCTAAAAACTAAATAAATGGGACTTTTGCGGGTCATTTAAATTTAAAATCCCGATCATTCAGTGGAATTTATCCAATTTTGATCGAATTATCGTTCTTTCATGTCGTTTGACATGATTTATCAAATTTTCCCAGAAAATCGTCTGATCCGTCAGGTTGATATAATCTCTCGGAACATCTGACTTGTCCAATTTATCAAATTCATCGGATGTATTTTAAATCATCTGTATTCATGTTTAAATTACAAAAAAAAAAAAAAAAATTAAGCCTCGACGTTCAGAAATAGAACGAGACGAAAATTTTAATCACGTCGATCCACAGTTTTCCATCCAATTATGAATGTCGTAACAGGGACAAAAAGCGGAATAGAGAGAGAGAGAGAGAGAGAGAGAGAGAGAGAGAGAGAAATTAACGGCTTGAATTAATAACTTGGAATGTTTAATAAAACTCTGGACTGTACATCGTATAATAATGAAATCTTCCATCTTTTTTCCTTTTTTTTTTTAACATTTTTCTCCGCCACTAGGGGTTGATATCCCATCGTTCGGAGGAAATGAAAGCAATGTCTTTGAAAGCGTAAACGAGCGTTTCAGCTCGATCTTTCGCCGCGCTAAATTCCCCTCGATCGATCGCTTTCACGCCCCCCCCCTTCCCCCCTCCATTATATTTCCTCTTGAAAGAAGACTTCATTTTTCACCTACTATCTCCTTTTTTTTTTTTTTGCTTCTTCTTTTATCTATTCCGCGACTCGGGTATACCCGACAGAAACAACTCTCGCCACTCTTTTTCGCGTTCGACGATGTGACTCTCTGTCTCTCCTCCTCTTCCCCAAAGGAAGGAAGACGGTGCATTTTTTTTTTCTTTTCGAAAACAGCTTATCGCGTGCAGAGGATTTCCGTGGGCGTGAATCAAATCCCGAAGGATGGCATCGGAAGCTAATTTCATACGAATTAACTTCGAATCGTAGTGTGGAGAAATTTTGAAAAATTTTTTCTCAAAATTGTCCAAGATTGTCTAATTTCTCGAGACTTGCAATTAGTGGATTAACATTCAAAAGTAACGTTCTAATCATTTTAATGAATCTAATGAACAAGATAAATAAATAATAAATAATTTTAATGAGCAATCAAATTTAAGAAGCAAGTTTTTCTCTGTCAATAAGTAATCGTTTAAATAATTTTAATAAACAATCATTTAATAAGTAATCGTTTCGACAAATTTATTGAATGAAATGAATAAATAACCAAAACAAGTAATCTCAATGAGTTTCTTTTTTATCAATAAATAATCGTTCAAATAATTTTAACAATCATTTAAATCAACAATTTCAATCACTTGGTAAGTAAGTGTTCGACAAATTTATTATTGAATAAAATTTATTTTATTGAAGTTAATTTTATTAAAATTTTCTTGTTTTTCATAATACAATTTTATTAAAATTCATTTCATCGAATAAAATAAATAAATAACCAAACACAAATAATTTTAATAAGTATTATTTTTTTTTTTTATCAATAAGCAATCGTTTGAATATTATCATTCAATGTGCATTACTCTCTTATCACTGTTATCCAAAATTCCCGTCGTGGTCTCGATTTCGTGTTTAAAAAAAAAAAAAAAAAAAAAAAACACGAAGTCGCGCGATACGCGTCGTTTTGAATTCCCCGATTCGCTCGGGCATGGTGTTCATTGGTGATCTGACGGCACGATCGCCCGACAGACGAAATGTACAGTGTGTCATGAATAAAAATGAAACAGGGCTTGACTCACCGAACATCGCTGCGTCGCGGAACGTGGCTGAGACTGGTTACAGTCACCTGTCGCATCGGAATATGTACTTTATGGTACGCACGAATGCGCGCACCTTCGCGATCACTTCCTCTTGCATCAGGTTGAAACACATCGCGATCAACGCCATACCTAAAATGCATTTTCCTTCATTTATTTATTTGCTCGTTTGAATTTCAACCGGCGAGTCTTGATTAAATTTGATTTTACATCGAGTGAAACACAGATGGATAAGTTAATATAATTTCAATTATAAGACAGACCAAATGAAATACCTTTTGTCTACGTCTAATTTGTTAAAATTAGTTTTTTACTATCAGTGAAAATGAAAACGTCATAAGTGCATTGCATTTTACACAATACGTTGTACAGATGCTCGACTTTATCCGCCCCTATAGAATAAAATAAAGGGTACTTGCATACCTTTTCTATAGAGAATTTTATTTTTCCCCTCTGTGAGCCAAAACAATTTTTTTCCAGAAAGTTTGGTCATTTCCTCATTGCATAAGGTCCAATTAAGAGATATAGTTTTGTGTGAATTTTTTATTTTTTTTGTTAGAAAGCTAAATACATACTTTCCCCTATTTACAGAGACGTGTAAACTATTGACTATTGACTATTAACTGAGTATGTTAACCTCGCATTTGTTAACTAATCATTTTAATTTCAACTTTCTCCATTTTCTTCTGTCATCTGAGTCATCTAACACCTTTGTTATCGCGAATTAATATTCTCTTGCGCTGTCTCTTGGCAATTATTAGTTGTTAATTATTAACTATTGAATTATATTTCTCTCTCCGCTCAATGTGCATCTCCTCCTTTTCTTTTTCAGCCAAAACTACTCCAGGTGTCCGTGTCTTGTCCTCGCTGTGAGGTTTTCGCCACTCTTGGACACCGTGGTAAGTCCCTACATGATATTCTTTTATAAACTAGGTTCTATCCAGAACTATCTATTGCTTTATATGTTATTGAAATACAGTACATGTTATATTGTGATATAGTGATGTACTGTATTATACAGTATTAAACTATGATATATATAGTATTATGATATAATGCTATATTATATTTTATATTTATATATATCTGTAATATAATATATACTAAATTATATTACAGATATATATACTATATTATATTATATAATGCTATATAATGCTATATATAATATTATCATAATTTTTATTATATAATGCTATACTATATTATACAGTATTATACACTATATATTATATTATACTATACTATTATATTATATTGTACCATACTATTGTAGTATATTATATATTATACTATATTATACAGTATTATATTAGTATATATAGTATATTATAGTATATTATACTATAATAAAGTAATACAGTATATTATATAGTATATTATATTATATATTATACTGTATTACTTTATTATAGTATATTATATACTATACAGTATTATATTAGTATATATAGTATAGATAATGTATTTTGAATGTTATTCGTGCCTGATATTATAAATATTCGTTATCACGTAACAAAAGTCAAACTGTGAATACCACTGGTAATATAATGGTATCCCAGACTCGATTGGCGTCCACTTTGTGTATATAAATCAACATTCGGACAGGAATGGCCACGATTGGTCGATTCAATTCCCGAAAAAAAGCGCCGCTTCAAAGAGGCTCGGTTCCTACCAAACGCGTAAACGTCAATCGGAAAAATCGAATTTCCCCATCTCCGATACGACCTATTCGAGTAAACCTCGAAGGTGATAAAAGAGAAAGAGAAGGAAGGGAGAATAATCGGCGGCTGGTTGTCAAACTTTCGTCCGACCGCGTACAAAGCTGTCTACGACTAAAAAGTAAGTAATCGATCCTCCTGACCCTTGACACGCTTCGCGACACTTTGGCCCCTCGATTCATTAACTTAACCACGCCTACGCAAGTGTGCCTACGTACATACATACATACACTCACCTACTTAATCGTGCCCAGCGTGAAAGGATTAACGAATTTCAAGAACCAAAGAATTATTTCTTACTTCCCAATTAACCCCTCGCTCTGGTAAACTGGTTCGCGGACCATAACGAGTGACCCAACCGTATGCAATAACTCGTCGCTTTTTCGAACATTTTAATTTTACAATCGGAACACTAAATTTCGAACGTTCGTAGAAACTTGTATCTTTCTGAACAAAGTTAAAAAAAACTGTCTCACATATATATATACTTATAGTTCGTAAGCAGAGGATTTTAATTTTACAATCGAAACATTAAATTTCGAAAGTTCGTAGAAACTTGTATCTTTCTGAACAAAAAAAAAAAAAAATTGTCTGAGATATATACTTATAATTCATAAGCAGAGGATTTTAATTTTACAATCGAAACACTAAATTTCCAACGTTCGTAGAAACCTGTGTTTTTCTGAACAAAAATAAAAAAATTGTCTCATATATATACTTATATTTCGTAAGCAGAGGATTTTAATTTTACAATCGAAACACTAAATTTCGAACGTTCGTAGAAACTTGTATCTTTCTGAACAAAAATAAAAAAATTGTCTCATATATATATTTATGTTTCGTAAGCAGAGCATTTTAATTTTACAATCGAAACACTAAATTTCGAACGTTCGTACAAACTCATACTTTACTGAATGAAAATGAGAAATACTATTTGTTAAAATATCGCGAAGAATATTACAGCTTCGTGAATTTTTGTGTTTCGCGTACCTCTGCATTCCATTAACCACTTGCGCTGGGTACTGATTGCGGACCATAACGAGTGACCGAGCCGTACAGAATAATTCGTCGCGTTCTTTTTCTTTTGAACTCGTCGGTACGATATCACTGGATAGAAATTATTGAGAAGTAATAAATTTGTCATTTGTTTTGCCTGGGTTACGTTTAAATATACTTAAAACTGAGGAAATGCTGCAATTTGGGGGAAAAAAATTCTCGGTCCTAATTGTTTTTACGACGATTCGTGAGATTCACAGAAATGCATATTAATTCTGTAATAAATTAGGATTCGGTTTTGTTCAAAATTAGGTTCAAAATACGCAAGATCTTTATCTAGTAAATTTCATTAATTAAACCAAGCTTTCGCGCGCTTACGTTTAGAATACGAATTATAATATATATAGAATAATATAATATATATATAATATTATTATTATATAATTATAATATTATAGAATAATATAATATATATATATATAATTATAATATATATAGAATGAAATTATTCCTGGTTACACTAGTAAGGTGGTTAACCTTTTACTAAATTAATTAATTCGCGTTCTTGTTTTCACATTGTAAATAAAAGCCGTGTTACTTTAAGAGACGGTACTCTTTAAATACTCGAAAAAATTCCAGGAGAATAATACTGTTGGGAAAATTCTCGAAAAATTATTCAATTTATTAGAATCCTCCGATATATTTAATATTTACAAGTCTCTATATTTTAATTTATATTATATTTTATATATTCCACACAAGTCATTCCAGCACAATAGGTTAACCACTAGCGTTGGTAACTAGTTCGCGCGGACCATAACGAGTGACCGAGCCGTACACAATAATTCGTCGCGTTCTTTTTCTTTTAAACTCGTCGACACGATATCACTGGATAGAAATTATTAAGAAGTAACAAACTTGTCGTTTGTTTTGCCTGAGTTACATTTAAATATACTTGAAACTGAGAAAATGTTGCAAATTGGGACAAAAAATTGCGTGTCGGCACGTCATTCCAGCGCAAGAGGTTAATCGATTAATCGAAATAACGAAGAGATAACCACGTCGGTGATCACGTTCGTGTCGGCGATGATTAAATCAGATTTTGTCAGCGAACAACAGATTTAGCTAAATACGCGGAACCTCCCCCCGGCCAGTTAACATCAACAACCACGATGGCCAATAATGAAATATAAATACAGGAACATTTGTTCGCAGAATAAATTAATTAAACGCAGAAACAATTCGCCGAGTGAATTAATTAATTCAGGCGACGAGAGAAGAAAAATCTGAATTACTCTGACCGCCTTCGAACAGCCGGAACAACGTGAAACGAAACGAAGGGAACAATGGCAATTTGTTTCGAAGCATAATCGAGTGACATAATGATAAACCGCGGTGGAAGAAGCGGTCCTCTGTCGAAATCAATTCACGGAACGCGCAAATGCGTTTATTTATAGGGCAAAATGGAACGGACAGTTCCTCTGAAACTTGGATTACATTGTTCGTTTAGTTTGGCGAATCGGATGAACGGGAACGATTGTTTCGGCGGTTCGTTCGTTCGTTCGTTTGCCTGCGGTGCTTGAAAACCAGCCTGAACACAGAACTATTAAGTCGCGTGTATCAACATCCATTGCATGATCCCGTGATACAGTCTAACATTTTCCTTGGAAATGACATTAAACTTTCGGACGAAAATGTCCGTTTCCGTGCACGTTCAGAGATCTATTGCGAATAATGGTGGTTAGAAAGGAGAAGCCTCTTTTGCGAGAAGTTCGTGGAGAATTATAAAGGGTCTGAAATTGTCAATAATTCGAAAAGGGGAGATTGCTTTAACATTCGAGAAATTGAAACTTCCAAAATTTGAGAAATTAATTAATATTTAATTAATATTTATTGAATATTAAATAGTAATATTTAATTCATTAAATATTATTGTTGATATATATAATAAAATATATATAAAATTAATATATATATATAAAATATATATAAAATTAAAATACATATATATATATAAAATATATATAAAATTAAAATATATACATATAAAATATATATAAAATTAAAATACATATATAAAATATATATAAAATTAAAATATATATATAAAATATATATAAAATTAAAATATATATATAAAATATATATAAAATTAAAATAGATATATAAAATATATATAAAATTAAAACATATATATATAAAATATATATAAAATTAAAATACATATATAAAATATATATAAAATTGAAATATATACATATAAAATATATATAAAATATATATAAAATTAAAAAATATATATAAAATATATATAAAATTAAAAAATATATATAAAATATATATAAAATATTTTATATATATATATAAAATTCACACTGAAGGATAAAACAAGCAAAGAATCTCGAAATTTGAAAACCGAATGGACACGATGCGTATTTGTTTGAAAAGCGAGTTAAAATTAGAAATAGAGGCAGGAGAGGAAAGCGCAGATGGACGATTTTTGTGGGGAATTGGAAGCGTCGAACGTCAGGATGGATAAAATCGGCGAGATCGGCCGGGCACTCACCGAGCATCAGGTACATGGAGCAGAAGATGAAGGATAAATCGAGGCCCTGGGCCGCGTAGATTTTGTCACCGGGCACGATGTCGCCGAAACCTATGGTCGACAGGGAGACGAAGCAGAAATAAGAGCCGTCCAGCATGTTCCAGTCCTCCCATTCGGAAAACAAGATCGCTCCGCCCCAAATATACCTGAAGATCACCCAAAAATTTTGATCATTCTTTGGTCGTTCGTAACTGCAACTTGCCTTTTGCACAATTCCTCGCGTTTCGACGATCATTTCGCTTAATTACGAGAAGAGGGAAAATCGTTGCACGCAAAACTACGGATTAATAAACGCCGCAGTGAACATTTAAAGCCATTTGGAATTTTCATTGTGAAACGAGGAATTTTTAAATTTTTTTAAATTTATTACAAAATTATTGACGCCCATAAACATTTATCCTATTGTGAGGCGTTTCTTCTGACTGTCTGTCTTAAGAATTTGTTATCGAAATAACGTTAAAATGTTAAAATAACGTTAAGATAAGTATGATTTATTAGTATTTAGTATTATTGCAAAGTATTATATAGTTTATATGATAAGTATTCTAAGTATAATATTATATATATTTAATTTATATTATATATATTTATATATTTTATATAATACATATAATATTATATATATTTATATATTATATATATTTAATTTATATTATATAGTTTATATAATAAGTATTCTAAGTATAATATTATATATATATAATTTATATTTAATTTATATTATATAGTTTATATAATAAGTATTCTAAGTATAATATTATATATATTTAATTATATTTAATTTATATATTAAATCATTATTATTTAATACACCAACGATAATACTAGAAGTATTGTGCTTGGAAGGAAATGTTTTATTTTAATTAATTTTACCATCGTTGACAAATTGTTTGTTAAAATAATATCTTAAAATTGAGTTTATTGTTCAAATTCTAGACATTCTTTTTTCTCGATAATTATAGTTTATGAACTATTATAAAAATCGTCAGACGTACTTAGTTTTGCTCCTGAACTATTAATCGTAATAGCGTCCTAAACGGAAAGTGACCAAAAATCAGCCCAGCACGGAACACGTCAATCGAATATAATTCCATTATAAAATGATGAATATTGAATATAACTCACCCGACCATTATGGCGACGCAGAGTGTCAGAGGTACAGTGACCTGTTGAGGATCGTAGCTGCTCGTACTGTCATCCTCGTCTCTCTCTCGCGCTTCGTCGTCTTCCAGGGAAGTACTTCTGTCCACACTGAACGTGTCGATCTCCCTTTCGTTCAAGTCCACCATCTGTCAAACAAATTCTCATTACAAAACAACAAGTCTTCCTGTTGTTGTAAACTGCCCCTTAACTGAACAAAATTAAATTAATTAATTAAATTAATTGACAGACGTGTTGGGAATCTCTTTTCCCCTCAGAAAAATAAAAGAAGAATCTTAAAATTAGAATGTTGACCGGAGAAAAATGAAAGTGGCAAATAATGTAAGAGTAAGAAACGACGTTTCTAAAGGTGTGCCAATGATTTTTGAAAAAAAAAAAGGTATCTCAAAAGAGAGAAATGAAACGTGGCAAGCTGTAAGAACAAAAGGCGACGTGTTTCTGAAGTGTGTGGAATTTTCCTAAACCTAAACCTAACCGGGGTAAACTTACTTGCCAATGGTTTCTCCTTATGTCGGCACTGTCGTGCGTACTTCCCCTCGACGCCATTTCCAATGGTCTTCTGCGACACCTTCAAGGAGAGGCAAAATAAGACGAAGAAAAGAGAAACGAAAGAAAAAAAAAATAAATAAATAAATCTGACGTTCGGCAACAACGTTGTTCCGAGTATTGGTAGTAGAAAGGTAACGAAGAGAGAAAGAAGGAGACACTCACTTGCACAAACAGCAACGGGCATAGATCCATTTGAAGCTCTTCGCAAGAATATCGCCGATATTGCTCAGATATAGCAAGAAAAGCGGCAGGCCTATTATGGCGTACACTATCGTCACCATTTTGCCCGATTTCGTCTTTGGGCAAACGTTTCCGTAACCTGTGGAACCGCAAAAGGAGACACAAGAGATATCTTTTTTTCTTTTTTAGTTCATTCTCTCGAAAATAAAGATCGATAATAAAGAGAGCGGAAGGATATTTGCGAGATGGCAAAGGCTGGATTGTAATTTGTTATTAAAGCGGTATTTGTGGAAAGTAAATAAGTAAGCAGAAGAGAGAAAATCCCTCGAACGCTAGAAGAAAGGAAAAAAGAGGAAAGAGAGAGGGGAGTATTCCGTCGAACGAATGGATCCTGCATGATTTATTAATCGTAGCGATTCACGGGCGCAGGAAATATTTAAAGAAGCAACAAGGAACGAGGCTCGAGGAACGAAAAACTCTATCGACGGGGCGACGCATCGTTTATTCAGCGTGCGCCGATTTTGAAACAGCGACCGCGTTCTTCCTGCCTCGGCGAGCTTTCCGCTCGAGTCCTCCGTGTCTCGACAGTTTTTTTTCACCCATCCTTTTCAGTTTCAACGACAGTTCTATCATACTTCGTAAAATATAAAAGCTGCATTTACCTACGAATGCGACACGGACGGCCATATTTAACGGTAGAACAACCAAAGTGATCGAAATGACTGATCTGACATTTTATCTTTATTGGAAATTTTACAGATTTAGAATAATGGGTTTTTAGAAATTTAAATATAAACAATAAATTCTATTATATTAATTTTTCTATCCCTTCTGTTATAATAATGTTCCGTTTAGTTTCATCAAGTTTTATTAAGTGATTTTTCTAGCTTTTCTATTATAATAATTATATTTTTAATAATTGGAATAATTTTTTATTATTGTAATAATTATATTAATATAGTAATTAAAATAATTCTTCTAATATATTAATATATAACTTTCAGTATGACATATTAATATAATGATATAACAATTTTTCTAGGTTTCCTATTTTAATAATTATATTTTTAACATAAGTTAAGTTTTATTAAGTAATTTTTTTAGCTTTTCTATTATAATAATTAATTTTTAATAATTGAAATAACTTTTTATT